GTGCCCATTGCTGTAACCGCTTTGCCATTAAGTGGGTCCCTTGTTCCAAGGCATTATTATGTAGGACGGCATGCCAGTACATCAAATATTTCTGAATCCTTGGATGGCAGTACTGTCTGAGGCACTTGAGGCAGGATAGGCAAAGCAAAATATGTACCAGTCCTGGTTAGAATAAATTGTTGCCTTTTCCAGAATGGAAAAGGTTCAGTGTACTCAACTTGCCATCAAGTGGCTGGTTGTTCTCCTTGAGTAGTGGTACTGAACTAGGGGATCAGCATTCCTCTTTGTTGCTGATAGGTCGGACATTTAGAAATAGCAGTAACCAGGTCAGCCTTGGGTGAGAGAGAAGTCCACGCTAATAGGCCAAAAAATAGCCTTAATCTCTGCTACCATGGTGATTCTATTCATGAGCACACTGTGCAAGAACTGGAATAGGTCAGGTGGTCCTGAAACCATCCTGTCCATTTGATTACTATTTAGCACTTTTCTGGTAAATAATAAGTCCCACTCTCATACATCCACCCAAATGCTCTTCACCAGACCTTGTGTTCTCCCATTTTCCTATCTTGCTCCTGGGCCCCTGACCAACCAGCTCACTGTGATTTCATGTACATCCTTGCCTCAGGCCACTTCTCTCTCCAGACTGAGTGGATGATCAGGTACATTGCCTAAAGCTCTACTCATTGAGAGAATTTCCCCTCATCATTGTCTTTCAGGACCACTTCTGATGGGGCTGTTGAGAAGTAGTAGTCCATATTTGGCTTGCCCTAACATATCAAGCCAACTCATCCAGGAACCAGACCCAGATTTTCTTTCCTCCTCTGTCAACTGATTGAAGAAGGCGCCGGCCTGGTGGCATAGTGGTTAAGTTCACATGCTCCGCTTTGATGGCCTGGGGTTTGTGGGTTTGGATCCCGGGCATGGACCTACACACCGCTTGTCAAGCCATGCTATGGCGGCATCCCACATACAAAATAGAGGAAGATTGGCACACATGTTAGCTCAGAGCCAATCTTCCTCACCAAAAACAAAGTTGAAGATATTCTGATGTTGCCGTAGGTATGACCTAAAAGAAAAGTATCAGTGCAACAGATATAGGGAATATGGAGGTCTGGGGTCCCTTGTTCATTTTAATTACTTGTGCCCACCAAGTGTGCTTGGGCATCTTCCCGAATGTACCATTTCCATTGTAAGATGGATTGCTATTGTATCCACCCAATCTTGTGACTTGGCAGGTTTGACAATAACCAGCTGGTTATACGGGCAAGCAATCACACAGTCACTTCATACTTTGTGGTTAGGCACTAAGTCTCTATCAGGACCTAACAGTATGCCAGGAGATGCTTTTCAAATGGTGAAACTTTCTCTACTGCAGATGGCACCACCTTACTCCGGAACCCTAGAGGTCTGTGCTGGAACTCTCCTACTGTGGATGGCCAGAGAATCCACACAGCATCTTTTCCTACCACAGATAACTCTAGTACCATGGAATTTTCCAGGTCATATGGCCCAAGCAGCAAGGCTGCTCGTATCACAGACTGGACCTGCTGCAGAGGCCTTTCTTGCATTCCCAAGTACAGAATATGCTGCCACCCAAACTGGAAGAGCCCTACCAAGGCATTGTGCTTCTTTCTTGGGGTAAAAGACACAAGATGCAGTAACTTATCCTTTACTTTAGAGAATGTCCCAGACTGCTCCAGATCACTGGACTCCTAAAAATTTAACCAATGTGACAGGGCTCTGCATCTATGCAGGATTTATCTCCCACCCCCTGGAGTATATGTGTCTCCCCAAGGAATCCCAAAATATTTGACACTGCTTGTTCATCATATCTGATTAGCATATCCTTAATATCTGAGTAGCATAAGCTTAACAAATATAATATTCTGCAGAATGTCCAGGTCCCTTTGGACTATACTGTGACAGAGAGGGGGAGAATTAACATAGCTCTAGATCAAGACTGTGAACTTATACTGTTGCCATCACTTGCAAATACAAACTGCTTCTGATACTCCTTCCTGATGAGTATGGAAAAAACATATTAACTAGACCAGGGGTCAGCATACTTTCTGTAAAGGGCCAGATAGTACATATTAATACCCACATACCTATACCAGAGGCTGTGTTACTCTCGCCAGCAAAGAAAACACATCCAACACAGGACTGCAATTGGGACTACTATTTGCTTAAGTTTGCAGTAGTACATTGTAATCCCCAGTTTTTGCAAGGGCCAGACAGGTAAACCTAAATGAGGATATGATGCAGACCAATATCCCTGCATCCTTTTAAGTTTTTAAGGGTGGAACTAATCTCTGCCATTTTCCCCAGAATGCAATATTATTTTTTATTTACTAACTAGGCAGAGGTGGGGGTATAGTTTCAGGGGCTTCTACTCGGCATTTCTGCCAACCACCAAATATGTCCATTCTGAGTATACATTTGGAAACTGGGAAAATGACCATAAAGTGGGTTTTTGGACCCACTGTGAGACAGATTTGAGCCAGCACTCCATTTATGATCTGACCCTATATTTCCCTATTGTAATGGGGTGGGATGGGAGGTGCTGTGGCAGAGCTTTGGGTCCCTGGGTATCAGTGTCAATTCAAACACTGTATCCCTGTTTTCTAACTCAAGAATTCTTTCCCTAGTATATGGTTAACTAAGTAAATGGCTCTTTCAATTGATATGTTGAGTCTGAGAACTGTCTCAGGTCTAGAAACTGAGCAAGGAATCCTAACTTTTCACTGAAGTTACTGATTTCAGGCTTCTGTTAACCATTCTTGGTCTCTCTTAATTATATATAAATCAATACCCTCCTTGGCTGCCCATCTATCTGGTCCCCAGGACCACCCACATTCCATTTGCCATCTCCACTTTGACTTTGCTGCCCGTATGGCAATTCACCCACCTTGCTTCTGAGAGTTAAGTGTTGCCATATGGCCTCTGCTATGCCAGGATCCTATCATCCCCACTGCTAGTAGGGAAACCAGTTCTTAAACAACATCCCCTTCCATCAGCCTCCACCCACAGAGACAGCCACTTCTAAACTTCTCAAAGATGCTGGTGACCCCTTCATTAGTGCCTTTCATTTACAAAAAAATTTTCCCAAGGACTTCCTGAGGAACATAGTCAGCTGGTGGGTTTTCCAGTGTAATATACATTCATTCTTGCATGCCCACTTCCTCTAAGCCTTTTGATCATTTCTCATATGGTTGTCATCTCTGCTTCATTTACTGTGGGCCATTGTTTTTCCCAAGCCCCCCAAAGCCCTCTCAATAGCATTTTATAAGCACCTCATGGGGCCCTTGCCAGGATGTTCCAGGGTCACAGGAAAATGTTCCTATTATCACAAATTCTGTGTGAATTCAATTCTCAATTTATGAAACCATCCAAACAACCACAAATTTCTTTTCTAACATACAGAATTTTGGTACAAAGGGGCACCTTCTTTAAAGTTTGCGAGCACTATAAATACTTCACATACAGCTTAAACCTAAGCTTTTCTAATGGTTATTTTTAAGCAGAAGAAAAGGAAGGCTAGAAAAATACTAGAGATGTCCTTACAGTGACACATTCTTGCTGAAGCAAAAGCTCACTAGAGGCAACCCTCACATAGGAGAGAACTACAAGTATAGAAATGTATCAATTTGGCTGATGGAGCTATGGAGAGACTGAGGAGAGCCCCCAAAACAGTGCTATTCGAAGGTGGTCTGACAGTTTTTCACCAGTCTGCAACATGATGAGTTAGAAATTGAGAGTGTTTAGAAACTTTTTAGCATTTTGACATTGCTGTGATATCCAAGCGCATGATCAGTGACTTACCCTGCTGAACAAGGGCTGGTCAGTTTGAGTGTTGTCAGACTTGCATGGTGGGTAGCATAGTGTGAACAGCACACTTGTCATGGACAACAGGAACACACATTGGTGTACGAAGGATTGGATATTTATAAAACAAAAAACATGGTCCTTTACCACAGACAGTTTAAGAAGAACTGTTTCATCCTTTCAGAAGTCCTAGAATAATTCAGATGGTGTTTTTGGAACAGGGAGTTACCTGAGGTCAATTTGTTCCTGTTCAATTAAAATAAAAATGAAAATGAGTGACTTGGGAAGAAAACTAAAGTGGACTAGGGCATCTGTTTAGATTCCTGGAGTAAGCTCTTGGCCAGGCCAGCACAAGTGAGAACTAGCAGGACAGTAGGCACACTGTTCAAGGGGGAGGGCCCTTTTTTGTTCTCCCCTCCTCCTCCCTATCCTTGTCCAATTTTTGGCTGGAGATATAAGGAGAGAATTTTGGCCATTCAGGCCTTGTGGCCATAATCACAAGTCTGCCTGTACTTTTCCCATCTCTTGCAGAGTAGAGGAGTCTCAGATTCAGACCTGGGCTCTTACATACTCTGATAAGGTACAGTAGCTGGACCTTCCCAGACAGCCTGAGGCCTCAAGAACATTACCTCCCTTGCCAATACCACAGAACGTATGGGATCTTAAGGGGTGAAAAGCTTTAACCCAGGGGAAAGTGACATGTCAGGAGCTCAAAGTGACTCAGATGATGAATGTGAATTTGTTCTGGCAGTTATTTTCTGAGGGCTGAACCAGGACAGCCAGCTGGTCTGACCAGACTGTCCACCAACATATGGCAGCCAAGGTCCATAGATCCATTGGCTCCCACAGAGAAGAGCAAGGTCAGTTCAAAGATAAATAATTTAGAAAACATATTAATAATATATTACCAATATTAATAATAATAATGTGAAATGTTAAAATACAATACCAATTGAAGGGCTTCCCAGATGGAAATACTCAAAGTTAATGAGGAAAGATAGCCATTCTGTCTCTTTTGCCAGCTGAGGTACAGACTGAGCTGGGGAAAGGGTGGTGGGTGCAGAATCCAGCACTGCAATGTTATGCAGAACTAGTCTGCTAACATTCCTCACACTGCAGCTTACAGAAGCTGAGGAAGATCAGAAAAAAACCTGGATGAAAAACAGGCCACACTCCTTACTTACAGTATTTATTAGTCAGGAAAAAGGACCCAGAATGCACCCCACCCCCTTTCCCAAGCCACTTCCCTGAATCAAGGGACAGGATTCAAAGGAATCAGACGTCTCAAATATGCCAGAATGCATCTAGGGAAGAACAGTCATTCATTTCCTAGACCTGATACTATAATTATATGTGTTTGCCAGGGAGAGAGGGGGCCAGGCAGAGTGGCGGATGGACTAGATGAGGAGAAACAGGAAGAGCCCTTCTTTGTCACAGCTTGGGCTCAAAGAAAGGTTGAAATAAACAGGTATTTATAAAAGAGAGGAGACAAGAGAAGAGGTAGGGGGAAAGGAAGGTCAAAAGCTGGGTTCACCCAGATCACACAGCACTGTAGAAAGAACCAGGGCAGCAACTTGAGTTCTCAGGCTGGAACAGGGAGTTAAGGGCTCAGCACCTGGACAGAGGAGAATGCCAGGGCTTCTCTTTGAACCCCATTGTGATTAGATGCAAAGCCCCCACTTTCTTTCCCTTCAGAGAATTCAGAACAGTCTGTCTGTTGGAGGCAAGAGGGCATGGTGACAGACCTATAGCCTCAGCCCAGGCTAAGTTTCTCCCCATTCATTCCCAAAGGTCCTGCCCAAGAGAACTACAGAAATACAGAATACCAGGACTCTGTCCCTGCTCCCCAGTTCCAAGAGAGGGAGTAGAGACAAGGCACGAAAACCCTGGGTGCAAAGGTGAACATCAGTGTGGCCATATATAACATTATTTTGGGAGAGGGAAGGAGGTGTATGCCCTAAAAGGGATGCCTTCCTTCACCTGGTGGGTAGCTGGGCCTTGGTTAGCAGCAGAAACCACAATGGATAGGGCTCAAAGAAATGGCCTTCAGAACAGACCTCATTCCTAGAAAGACAGAGAAAAAGCCTCAGCTGGTATGGCACAATCTTGGATGGGATGACAGAGGGCAGTGGGAAGACCGCTCCTGCAGATGACACTCCTGCCTCAGCTCCCAGTGGTTCTGCTGACTCCAGATGTTCCCCATGGCTGGGAATCAGGGAGGAAAACGTGTTGTGTTTCACATGATCAGACACTGTTCGCCATTGGCACCTGGTGGGCCCGACAGATTGAGGGCATCCAGGTCAAAGTTGAGGCCAGGAGGCTGGAGAAGAGATGAAGGGACTTAGATAGCTGCTCATATTTCGGATTAGAGCTTCTGAAGGTCCATCCCCAGTAGCCACAATTATCATCTTAGGTAGAATCACTATAGGTTACAGAATCCTGTAAACTTGGGCTCAGATTAAAATCCAGGAGAAGATATACTCACCATCTCCCCAGCCAGTTCTTTTGGTGGATGGCCCAAATCCTGTAGCTAGAAAATAAGGAAGAAGAACATGAGATAGAGAAAAATCCCAGAAAACAATATAGCAGCCCAAAAGAAGAATCTGAACTACGGTCTCTCTGCTTTCTCCTGACGACCATGCTATGTGGCCTCTCTTGTGCTTCCTCTTCCAGCTGGGTTTGGCAGCGTGGCATCTTTCCCAGATATTTCCTCCAATGAACACCCAAGCAGACAGCATCAGTGGGAAGACAACAAGAGGAAGCCTTACCTGCTGCATAAGATCCAGCACCATCTCAAAACGAGCCTTCTGAGTGGCCTCACTGTCTGTGGGGGTCTCTGCCTCAAACTGCTCACATATCTTGCCCATGACACTGTGCTGCTCCTGATATTTTTCAAACTGCTCTGGGGGTAAAGACTCCCGGTGACTCTGCAACCATTCTGGATACTAAAGAAAGAGAGCGTGGGTGGCGAAAAATTAAGCGAACAATGGATAAGACAACAAAATATGAAAAACAATAAAATATGAAGGAGAGAGGGACATAAAAGAAAAGCTAAATAAGCGAGCTCAGCATGAGAAGTAGCACTGACTCCAACCAGATCACCTGTCTATGCTAGCATTTATGGTCACCAGAGAATGGCAAACTTTTTCTGTGAAGGGCAAATAGTAAATGTTTTAGAGTTTAAGGGCTACATATGGTCTCTGTCACATATGCTTTCTTTTTCTTTTGTTTTGATTTTATAACCTTTAAAAATGTAAAAACCATTCTTAGCTTGCGAGTTGGATTTGGTCCACCCAGACCCTGGTCTGCTGACTCCTGGTCTGCACTATTCATTGCACACTTAACCATACGTTGCCCTGTGTCACTGAAAAGCTTCTATTCCAATATTTTCTCTCTTCAGTAAAACTATAAGCTCTTTGATGGCAGCGACCATCACTTAAACTACTCTTAAATTGTTCATAGCATAAAGCCAGCAAATTCTCAGTGAAACCTTGTTAGAGAAATGAATGAAGTTGGAAATGCAAAAACGGGTTGATCAGCCAACAGTCTTGAACCAGTTTACAGAAAACTAGAACTGAAGGATTTCCCCTTCTACCTTAACTATCCTCAGTGTGGTAGCTTTATTCTCTGAGAGACACAACTCATCCCCAACTTTCCCCACTCCAAATAAACAAAGGAGAAAAAAACAGATGGACTTGTGCACTCAAGTTACTCTATCTCTGCAGGCTCTAAGCAGACAGAGTAGCCCACAGAAGTTGATACAATGGAAAGCAAGCAGGAAAAGCAGACACAGAAGTTCACAAACCTTTTCTGTGATCTCCTTCAGTGATGGGTACAGCACATCCTTGGACAGTAGGTTCTGCATGATACTCTGCATGATGGGGAGGATGTTCCCTTCCCCATCCCCTTCATCCATGCCCAGCCCTTCCATGGCCTTGGTCAGCTCCTCTTCTGACATACCCGAGTTCTAGAAAGGAGAGGAGAGAGGTGAGCAAGTATACTGCCTTCTTGGGATGTTACCACCCTTTCAGATGGAAAGAACTATTTAAACTTGCCTGTAGCACAATAGTGAAGCAGGGACAGGCTTGAGAAGATACCCAAGAGAGTCTGTCTTTTGAGACTTTGTTGGTCAAGTGTCTGGCAATGGGCCCCTATGGTCCCCTACCTATTCCCCCTCACCTGAAGGTCAGTAGCATTCTTGGCTAGTCCACTTAGTGTCTCCTTTAGGCAAGAAGTGAATTCTTGTTGGGAAGTCGCATCACTGCCTAGGAAGGATCAAAAGAGCCAAGGTCAATTAGGATTTTAACTGTTTGCTTACCTAGACTGACCTGGTTAACAGCTTGGATATGGAGCATTTACTAGTGAATCACTAGCACTCCAAATCTTTGAATATGCTATGGTTATCTTCATAGTCATTTTCACCTCTCTAGACGGACTGTGTGTCAGTTTTTTCTCCACGATGACACCTACAATAACACTGTGACCTTTAAAATGGTCCGTTTTCAATCATCTTTTCTATTACTTTCCAACCCATCTCACCCCTTTCATTAAAGAGGGTCTCATCCCTCCTCCCATCTCCTCGCCCCACTCCATGGCAGTGATATCATGACTACAATCAACTTTACTAAGAATTTTGTTGTTTTCAAACAACAATGACTGAAGAGATTTGTTCAGATATTTCCAGTTGTCTGAGGCCCCCTCCTCACCTACTCTCCCAGCAGCCTCTGAGAGCTTTTGGAACTGCTCTACCAGGTGGGGTTCTTCCTCAGCCAGTTCCTTCATTGCCTTCTCGAACTCTGCAGTGGCTTGGGAAGCCAGCTCGCTGTCGAACAGTTCCTGGAAAAACTTCTCTTGGGAGGCGAAGAGGGCATCCTGCAAGGAGGAGTGGTCAAAACGCATCTCTTACTTGGCACCCCACTGCACCTGGCCTCTAACAGAAGCCACAGGCAGTGGCTCTGGGAAATGCAGTGCTTCCCTCCTACCCACCTCCATTGGACATTCTAACTACTTCTCTTAATGAGGACAGCAAGAAAGGCATCTGGCCACTCAGGGAAGGATATGGAGAGGCATTCCCAATCCAACCATTTAAATCTGCTCTTTTCTCAAGAAACTTCCTTGCGATTCCTCCACTCAACCTTAAGTCCCTGTTTCACAAGGACTGAGGCCTGCAAGAGCACTCAGCAATGAGGCCAAGGTACCCTCCTCCCAACCCCTCTGGCCCACAGGGGCCTGCCCCACCTCTGCTCAGAACTGCATGCCCATCCCCTCCCCCTCCCTTAAGTGGGTGGAATTTATACTTTGGCAGTGTCTCCTGGCGATCTCTTCTGGGGTCCCGAAGCAGCAGGGGCCGTGGTGGTGGGAGGGGGTGCTGGGGAGGGTTTGGCCTTATCGAAATCATCAAGAGCACCTTCAGAGACAAGAGACATGGTGTGTGTTGGGGATGGATGAGGATGCAATGCTGGGGGGTTTCTGGGCAAAGCATTAAAAGAACAATCTTGCAAACTGCCAACTTTCCTAAAGTTTTCTCCTTTTTTTTTGAAACTCTCTTTCCTGGCCCATCCCTCAACAAGCCTCCCTCTTCCTCCCCATTACCTAATTTATTGTGATCAAAGGGGAAGAAAGCCCCTGAGATGGAACAAGCATCTGTCTCAGAGCTGGGAGAAGAGAGTTAAAAGAAGTTCGGCAGAGACATCTCCATCTACACAGTGCCTTCTTTGCCACACTCTAATGATTCCCCAGAAATCCAATACGAATATTCAACAGGAGCAGAGAACACAGATATCCTTAACCCCACTGAAATCACTCTGGAGCCCTAAAGAGAATAATCTCTGGCAAGAAGGCAGAAGCCACAAGATGTCCCACCCAGCTTCCCATGGGTCCTGGTACTACCACAAACTGAGAGACTCCACACTCCACTCCACCGGAGGACATCAAACTCTCTTCTCTTATCCTTCAATTTAGCCTTTCCTCAGCTAAGCTCCTAAGAGCTGCCAGTGCTCTCTCTGGCCTCATCTCTGCAGATAACCGTATACCAATTCACAGAGTCAGTTGGCACTCCTCACCCGTTCTGTTCATCTTTCTGCCTGCCCATATCTCTGTGACCGGGCAAGAGAAAAAAACATTCACCTCTTCCCTGAGAAGCCTGTGTCCTCACCACCATTCTACTTGCCAGGCCTTGGGGGAGGACACTGTCCCCACTCTGGGCAAGAAACCAAAAGAGAAGTGGACAGGGCTAAGGAAGAAAAGAACATCCACCCTCAAGAGAGCGAACTGTCTTCCCTTGAGGCCTCTCTTCTCAGTTTTTCAAAATAATGGGAAAAGAGTCGTTTCGAGTTTTGACATGATGAAAGAACTGGAAAGGGGCCTGGTGAGAGAAAGGTGAAAGGACTGGGAGACGGAAAGAAGTGTCTTTTGTATTAAGGAGGACAGGACAGCGCATAGAAGGACGCACTACGAGCTTGTTAAGAGTTAATATAAACAATCCGTGAGTGTCAGGTTCGCTGACCACCAAGGACCGAGTGTTGGTGCTGGCGGGAAGGAAGTTAGACTTCAAGAACTTACTAATAATCTAAAGTAAGGGGAGTTTGGGGCGGGATCGTTAAACACCGTCCTATGGATTACTGTTTCCCTTCAGGCAGGGAGATCAACGGTCTGGGCCGCTCAGGGACCCGAGGTGAGCTCCCCAGCCCCCACCGCGGAGGAAAGGGAGAGTGATTTCGGGTTCGCAGTCAGACCCTCCCCCCCAGTCCAACCTTCACAGAGCCTCTCCCGCTCCGCCCAAATATCTCGTTTACTGAACCCCCTGAATTGGTCCTGACACCCACCCTCTTTGGGCCTTTCCCAATACGGGCTCTTACTTTCCAGAAGCTCTTCCAATTCCCGGTCCGCGTCGGCCCCAACACCACAGTTTGCCCCAGCGGCAGCCATCTTGCTACCTCCGACTTGCCGTAGGAGGCGGGACTCCGCGGCGCCCCACCCCGCCCCCGCCCCTCCTGCCAACCAATGGTATTGTCGGCCGCTGCGGAGCCGCCATTTTTAAAGGGACAGGAAGCTTTGATTTTTTTTTTTTTTTTTTCTTTTTTCTCCAGGAACCATTTAACAGAGAAGTTTCTGCTATCTTCTGCCAGGTTTCTTACTGGCCTAGACTCCTTTTTTTCAACTTCCCACATTATCTAGAAAAGTAGGTCTTTCATTATTTCTTCCTGAGCTGTGGGTAGGCCAGATTGGGACAAACTGCCTGCAAATAACCAGAAGCTGTGCATGTACAACCACTAAGACAGTTATGGCATATAACATTCTATTTTCCTCTCACTTCCTTCAGTGTTTTACTCAAATATCGTCTCTGAAATGCCTTCTTTTGGCTTCACTAAATAAAATTGCAACCTTTCCCACACACATACATATACACTGCCTATCCCCTTTATTTTTCTCAACACTTAACGCTATATATTTTACTTATTTATTGTCTCCCCCACCCCTTTAGAGTTTAAGCACTATGATGGGAAGGATTTTCATCTGTTGTCTTCACTGCTGTATCCCCAGCTCTTAAGCTAGGGCCTAAAATTTAGTAGGCACTCATTGGCCATTCCTTGCTCTCCCACACCCTAACGAGGAATTTTTCTCTGCAGAATCTAGTGGATCTCTCTCATTTCCTATTCTCCATTAAAATTGTCAGACTAAAGGACACAGTGCCAGGAACTTAGTCAGAACTCAAAGTTAGTTGAATCAAATCAGGCAGAAAAAGCAACTCTAGGACTTCGGACTGAGCAAGCGGGCAATTCGAATGTACTAGTAATACCTATCTCCTTTTCTCCATACAGAACTCAACCTCCAATCAAGTGAAGCTGGGGGAGGCTTAGATAGAGACAACTCTAGACATCCCTTCCCTCCTCTGGAATTGTTCTCCTATTTAGATCTGTCAGAATGCACCAAATGCTTCAGACACAAATCTATTTTAGCACTTAGAGGGCACCTACCGTTGTTTAAGATCCTGTGCTGGGCACACTGGAGGATACAGAAATTAGGACCAGCCCCTGCTGTATGGCAGCTGACTGGGAATTAGGGTGGAGGTAGGATTAGACATACACACAGTAAGCATGGCACAAGGTACATGTCTTAAGAGGTAAGGATAAAGTGCTATAAAGTTTAAAAGGGATAAATCACATCTAAATGAAAAGGCACGTCACGGTTTTCATCCTTAGCTTGCTAAACACACACTTGAGTACTGTGTTAAGCACCAAATTAGGTACTTACTCTTTCCTTCCAGATAGAGCACATACTTTTAAAGTCATACCTGTGCAAAACCTACTGTATTCTTCCAAGCACAAGTGCTGTGATTGGAAGAAAACATTCTCAACTAGGAGTAAGAAGACCTAAGTTCCGGTTCCGACTCTGTCAATTACTTTGTTCAAAACCCTTTACCACGCTAGCCCTCAGATTAAAAATACGTAACAGTAAAGTTGGGACTCTAACGTCCTTTTCAATTCTAAACTTCTATAATTTAATCTGTCCCTGATTAACCTCTTTCTCCCCAGCATCTGTAACATAATCAATTCCAGGCTTTCTCATTCAACTCCCAACTGCTTACGTGTGTACCTCTAATATGACTACAGTTATATCAGACACATATTTCTATTGGCTTTACATTAATGTGGTAATATAAGCATGTCAATAAGGAAAACACTAGATGGTAACTGAGAATTAAGATGGAGTTGAAAACAAGCATGATTCTTCCTTTGCCTTATTTCTTACACTTACTTCTGCTTTTATATTTTTACTACTGACACTCCCAACATCTGATCTCAGTATTTATTCACCACCTGGCCTTTCTAATGTATAGTGAACACTGTGACAAAACAGTATTTTACAGCATTTTCTTTGTATCACTCTCTTGCTTCAGGTTTAATGACTCTCCACTGTCTATTGACCAACTTCAAATTCCTACCTGGTATTCACAGTTATTTCACATATATCCATCTTATTTCCCCAATTACATAAGCTTCAGGAGGCATGGATTGTCCACTTTTTTCATATCCTTCAGTTCAGAATGTTTATGTTTGTATGCAAAGCTAATTCTGTAATTTAATAAACTCACAAAAAGATTTTTTGCCAAAACTTATCAGCAACTTGCCTATTTTTACAGAAAGAATGTTTATAACTTGAGAAAGTGTTATCAAAGTAGTATGCAAATTTTTGAGAAGGCAGGCTTAGCTTGGGGATACTATGTTTTAAGACAGCAACTCATAAAGCTCAAAAAATATAAATGCCTGTGTTCTTTGATGCAGGAATTACACTTCTAGTTTATCCTCCAGACACACTTTCCCCACCTGTACAATGTATATTCAAGTTATTCATAGCAGCACTATTTTTTTTTTGGTAAGGAAGATCAGCCCTGATCTAACACCCATGCCAATCTTCCTCTTTTTGCTGAGGAAGATTGGCCCTGGACACCTGCGCCCATCTTCCTCCACTTTATGTGGGACGCCACCACAGCATGGCCTGACAAGCGGGCAGCACTATTTATAACAGCCAAAGATTGGAAATAACCCAAATATCCATCAACAAGAAGGCAACTTACATAAATTACAATAAATAGTACAATGGTACGTAGGCAAAGAAGTAAAAAAAAGAGTGAAGCTCTCTAATATACTGATATGGAAAAATCTCTAAAACATGTTAAATGAAAAAATTAACAAGGTGCAAAATCATTAAATAGTATGCTTCAAGTATAACAGGGGGATAGGGAAGAACATTCATATCTGTTTGCATATAGATAAAAAAATCTCTGGAAGGATATAAAGAAGCTAACAACAGTACTTGTTTTGGGAAGGTTATAGGAACTGGGTGGCTGAGGAAAGGAGTGAGAGGAAGAAGCTACAGAACAGCTTTTTACATTTACTGATTTTTGAACTATATAAGTGTATTGTTTATTGAAAACATGAAATTAAAATGAAAAAAGTAGATATTTTAATCAAAGGCACAGTACATCAGTCTACCCAATTAGTCTTAGCACACGACAAGCAAATACTGTATTGCCAATGTAATCACTGTAACATATACAAAGCATTACTAATTAACTTTATATACGTATATTACACAAAACATCTAGAACAGTGACGGGTACATGGTAAGTGCTCAGTAAATACTGACTGTAATTAGCAATAGATGGAAGGCTGCAGTCAATAACAGAATAGGGGAGCTACTTGCTATCATTCTCAAGCAGTTTAATATATCCTATGAAAAATATGTGCTTTTTTAAAACAATGGGTACTTATTACTTTTGTAATTAAAAATAATTATTGAAGGAAAGATATCTGCTTTGGTGGGGCAGCTGCATGGAGTAAGTAGGAATAAGAGAATGTCCAGGAAATAAACAGCAAGCCACGAAACTGTCGCAGAAATTTACTTTATTTAGCGTGAGAAACAAAACGTAAGAACAATGGTTGTAAAGAACAAATCAATAAAAAGTGATGTGCATTTTTGGAAAATCACTTGACTTTAAGTTTCTGGCCAGAGAGAGGGTACCTGCCTGGGAGTTTAAATGCCCAAGGAAAATGGGGGATGGCTAAGAGTTTGTTGTGACTGAGTAAAATATGCCATCTTATTCATTACATCCTGCTCCTTCCTAGCAAAAATGATACAAAGGTGGTGGGGAGGGAAAGGATAAATCTCGAAGGAATTTACTAAACACATGTTCATCACTGAGTTTTCATTTGTTTCTTCAAAGATCTAAGCTGGCAAGGCAAGGCCAACTGTGACCACAACTGTAATCACCTTGAGAAGATGAGAGGTCCTCAGAGGCAAAAAAAAACAAAGTCAAGTTGAGACATTTTGATTAGCCAGAGAAGAAGAGAAAAGGACACTAGGTTTTAGGGCAGGTAGAGCTAAATGTCAACAATCTGAAGGGTAGTTGAAGAAGAGGGAGTTAGAAGGACAGAGAGACTAATTCTCCGGTGGGAAACATGGTGACTGACCCTACACACACAAAGGGAGCCTTAACGAAACTGCAGAGGACTGATCCTTAAACCAATCACATCTTTGCCAATCTCTGTCACCTGTGGAAGAGGAAACAGGAAAAAGTTAGGGATTTGTGAGCGTGAGAAGCCTAGAAAGCTTACTCCCTCCATTCCTCAATAAGCACAGAATGTTTTGTTACTGTTTGTTACTTATAGCAGTAGGAAGAAGCTCGAGCTTTCTCCAGTATCACTACCTCAAGAAGCTAGGGGCAAATATAGGAGGAAAAAAGGACCAATATGCTTCTTTTTTTTCCCCCTTCCCTCAATATCCCAGAAGCATTTCTTGAGGACAGTACTTACTGTAGTGACTCTGCAGATCTGACCCTTGAACTCCGGGGAATAGCAGGCCCCACTGAGCGGACATTTCTCCACTGGTTTTCCACGGTAGATGGGCCGATAAGATGCAGCACAGATGTCAAAAGGGTTGTGCATGTCATAATTGAGCTGGTAGGCATCTGTGGGGTTCTTCTCACAGGCTGACAGGATTTTGCGGGTCTAAGGGAGGGAAGGAATATTTTATTTAAGAGGAGTGAAAGCTGTACACTACAACTCAAGTGATCTTATCATCATGGTTTAGTAGTATCTTTGATGCAAGATATAATCATACTGAGTCAATACAGAATATGACCTCTGTACAGGACCTAAGCGAAGGGGTAACAATCGCCATTCCTGTTGTATCAGGCTTTCCCCTTCTCAATACTAAAGTGGCTCCACAGATCTAGACCCATACTCTTCCACCAAGCCTGGGACTTATCAGGGTCAGGCCTGAAAGGGTTAAAACTGGCTTTCATTGGCCAAGAAGAATGCTTTTGGAGAACACAAGTAGTGAGCCATGTATGTGTATGTGGAGGTTAGTGATGGTGGTAATGAGATATCTGGAGCTTAAGGACAGGAATGGGGTTATTCTCAGGTACAGTGGAGCTATTCTAGGTTGCAGGACACTCT